CCCTTTAAGGGGTACCCCTAATAATTCTACCTAAGGTGTCCTTAGGGACGTCGGAGCTGAAAACCATGATCCCGCGGCCGCAGCTTTGACCTGATCCGGGTCTGGTGATGGCTTCCATGTGCCCCCAAGATGACATTGGTTCCTTGTTGGAGCAATATTAAAAATGACCATTTTTAATCCTTATAGGGTTTTATTATAACAAAAATGCAAAATTGTAGCCAACAAGGACCCAGGACAGGTAAGTGAATGTTCCGGGGCTTTGCGTTTCGGGCTTGGGCGTTTGGCTTAACACTGCCGGGTTTAGCTTGGAGTTCCAAGGTCAGGTGTTCAGGGTTCCAGCGACTGACCATAGAACCAGCGACTGATGGAAACAGAAATCCCCAGAGCATTGAATGAGTCAACCTTGGCACCACACTCCAACTCCTGACTCACACTCGCGCCTTGCAGATTTGATGCAAATGGCAGCGGTCGGACAGCCGTCGCGGAGTTTTATTAAATTCCCCGCAGAAGGCAGCTTGTAAAACCGGACGGATAAAGCGACGAATTCCAGCAGGCGTCTCGTTCCCTTCGATTCTTTCCACATCTGCTTATTGCTCATCAATCCAACGCTGAGCAACAGAAGCCCACCCACTCTCACATACCATTGGGAAAAAACATTATTTACTCAGATCCTTTTTAACAATGGTAACTTAAGTTATTGTAGGCTAAACCCAAAGCCTAACAAGGACCCAGTTCGTCCAAAAACCCTTCGGGGCCCCGGGCTGCAAGGCTTCCAGATCCAGAGAGCTTCCGGCTGCCGCAGCCGAGCGGCGTCCCAGGCAAGGAAGGCCTCAGAAAACGGTTTAGGGTTTAGGGTTTAGGGTAACCGATCCCTGTATACTTGGAGGTTCAGGGGTAGTTATACGTGGGGTTCTAAGTAGGGTAGCTATAGTTATACCCCATATTCGGGGACTTATAGCCCCATTTATAACTACCCATGAACCTCCAAGTAAGGTATGTTCCGTAGTCATGGGCTTCTGGGTTTTCTGGGTATCCTAGAAGGCTACAGAGTCCTTTGCGCAAGAAGCCCGGTTTAGGCCAAAGGTTCTTTAGGCTTCACAGGGCTCTTTTCTAAGGGTGCGATGGAGAGTTAGTTGTGAAGCCTCACGTTCTTCGTTGGTCCCAGCCGTCTAGAAAAGGCATCCTAACATCATTTGTAGCTTCCGTGCAGTCTGCATGATGCCCAGCTATGACTACTTCTAAACTAAAGAAGAGCCTTAAATATGGTGCACCTACTTCGGTGAACACGTCCGGAATCTGACCGTACTTGAGATGCTCATGTGCTGGCTCCAGGACGGATTATTTTTTCCCAGCGGCTCTGGAGTATTTTCGAGAATTCAATAGAACAAACATCCGACAATGGTTCTAAGGAGGAGAAGTTGTCCAGTCAGCACATGTTGGAGCTTCAGAGCATGCGAGCTTCTTTTGTACCACGAACAGCACACAGCACAAAAGAGCCCCTAATTTAAGAAGCTCCAAACGTAACATGGAGCCAAGGCATGATCGTGACATCTTTCAAACAAACCCAATCAAGCGCTTGCATGGCCCCGGACACTCCAAATTAGAAACGCATGTCAACCAACGCAGCCGCGCACTGCCTGGCCTTGGGCAGAATGTAGCCCTGCGGGGTAATCTGATACCTCAGTCTGGTCTCCGGGCTACTTGGATTCGGGGATTGAAATGCCCTGCAGGTGCACAGAACATGCACGGCGGGAAAAGCGGAAGGGTGCAGGAAGGGGTCTGCATATTGTAAGCCTGTTCACTTTGTCCACATGAAGCTGCGCGAGGGCGCTGCTGGATGCTGTCAAAGACCACGAACTTCATTCAAGACTGCTGTCGGTTGCAGAGCCGCACACCCACGAATGCCCTGAGTTTCAGGGCCCCAAGAGACTCTAAGACTTCTTGGACAAGGAATCTTCTTGCAGCAGTATTTAGACTAGAAATCGGATATTGGCATGTTTTTTCGCGTCTCTCCGATAGCCGGAGGTCTTCGCTGCATCTACCTCAAAGGCCCCGGCTCTTTCCCGAATCGTTGCTGCATCTTTGCCAGATTCCTCCAGATCAGGTCCTGTGCCAAACATGGGCCAACAAACTCAGGCTGACTGCACGGGTTTAGGTTTTAGGGCACCTTCTTGAAATTGCGCAGAGCGCCGCCAAGGATGCGTTCTGGTGCCTGAGTCGCAGCTACAGATACATGCACACATAAGTTTGAACTTGTGCTACTGGTCCCTGTTCTCGTGCAAGAGACAAATATCGCTACCGTACACTACCCTGATGAAAAGTGCAGTGGTCGTTACGAGGACGCGCTTAAAGACACCTCCGTTCGCAAGTATTACATACCCCTGAACCTCCAATAGGGTTATATTGCAACTACTCTGCGAGAATTTTCTTTCCTTTTAGCTTTACTTAATGAAAAAGCTGTCAAGCAAGAAGCGGTCCTTTCTGCCCAGGTGAAACGAGCCGGGGAAGTGGTTCGCGCGCTGGACGGGACTGCGAAGCCAGGGCGAGAGGCGGAGAAGCAGGCTCGTCTGGTGGCATCCAAAGTTTGTGAAAGGATCGTAGGTACTTGCCGTAACCATCATGCTGCTGCTAGTGCTGCTCTGTGATCCTTAGTCTTCAGGCTTAAACTGCCATCGGGGTCTGGGATGCTGGGATCATTTTTGACTGTGAGGTTCAAAGAGCTAAGGTTGTGTCAACATACACGGACGGAGGCCTTTCGCGTGCGGCTATGCCAAAAGCACCTTCTTCCTCTAAATCTTTCAAGAAAGTGTTGTGCAACAAACCCTAAGGGTCCATGTACTCATATAGCATATACATTGGCCCCAAAGTACCCAAATAGGGACTACTTTAAGGCCAAAGTATCCAAAATTTGGGTACATGGACCCCTAGGGAAAGTGACTGTTCCTGTCGCAGTCGAGAAGTTTTTGCCGTGCAGGATGCTGGTCGCATAGGGTTTAGGGTTTAGGGTTTAGGGTTTAGGGGTTTAGGGTTTAGGGTTTAGGGGTTTAGGATTTAGGGTTAAGCAAGACACAAGGGACTTGAAGGTCAAGGCATTACCCAACAAATAGAGAAGGGCCCACTTCTATTCCGTGCTCGTGTCTCCAAGACAATCTGGGCAAGCTGAATCTCTGACTCGGACATGCCAATTATACCTTCTTTGTTCGGGGAGCCTCGGTTGATGCAGCTCTGACAGTGCAAAAAAGACTCGTTCCCCTGTGGAGGCATGGTGGTCCCCGGTGACTTTGGGGATTATGGTGTTCAAGTCTTACCGTATCATTTCGTGAAACATGCTTGCACTTGGCAGCCCTATCGAAACACCAGCCTGGCACGCCCGTGGAACTGAGACTGTGAAACACCAGTCTAGCAAGCCAAGGCAAGATGCATGATGCCTGAATCGCCGGAGCTGATCTGGTGTGGGATGCAAAGACCTGCTGCAAGGTCTCTGCGGAGGGCCCGTGGGAGCCTTTAGTTTGGCCCGAACCAAACCTACTGAACCCAAGAGCGCCCGAATCTCAAACCACACCAGCAACACAACAGAAAGCGACTTTGTTTGAAACTCTGAGCTCTGGGCGAGAAACCCAAATCCAAAGTTTTCTAAGCCCCAAGCCACCGCACTCAAGGATATTGGTTGGAAATGGTTGGAAAGGAAACGGAATTGGTATTATCAGCATTCCTTCCAAGCAGACCCAGACCACACCGCCACACACAACACACGGGACTTGCCGGGACTTAAGCAATATCTGTAAGAACATCTCCAATATCGCCTACAATGGGTGGCTGCGCCGACACACTCGTCCGCTTGGTTCACAAAAGCAGCTGACTGCAAATTTAACATCACCCTGAGTTTGAAACAGGTCACTCGCCCAAGAACTGTGCCAAACGTAAGCTAAGTACTTTAGGGTTCAGGAGCAGTTCGCGGATTAAAAGTGCGGCAGCTGTATGTGTAAACATGTTAGACCACAGTTCATGTACGCACGAACACCATGAAGGACATAGACATTGGATGCCTCGCTTTCCCGCCGCAGTCCAGTGGCTAGGAATGGTGAAGCATTCCGGGGCTCGCACCACAGAACTGTCCACCTGTTTGTCTCCGCACGTACCTTAGCGTTCCAGAAGCAACCCCTCATCCCCTGGCATGGCACAGCTCTGAAAGTGTGGTGTGGCGTCGTGTGGGCTTCTCTGCTTTTCTTTACGGCGGTTCCTGCGGCCGAAGCGGAATTTGGAAGCCTTGCCGAGCACGTGGACACTCCTCCCCAAATCTCTTGTGATTTCCGCTGGGACCCAAGCCCTAAAGAGGCCGCCATACCTGAGAATATTGATGACGGCGTTGTACTGGTGTATTGCCTCAGCTTCCGGGTGCTGCTAAATTCCCATCTTGCTACGACCTGCGGCCGAAAGAGCTGATGCACGTAAGGCGGCGACATCCGTATGCGAGTAGAACATCCGGGGGCCCTCCTCGTCAGCTGGGACGGCCCGGTCCATCGGACGCCTCAGCTGTGGCGGCTGGGATTTCGGCAGCTGTGCACTGCCTGGACCCGATGACCTTGCCCTGCGAACAGAACCTGAAACCCAAACTGCAACCTTTACTGCCCCATGCCTAAACCCTATACCGTATACTCATGCGTACACAGACCTTCAGAGTGGCTGCCAGGCATCCCGCACGAAGTTGGGGCCATCTGGGGTTAGGCTGAGGATAGGGCCAGGGACGGTTAGTTGGAGGTTCAAGGGGAGTTCTAAGTGAGGTTACAGAAGTCCCCTCATGTGAACTATAGTTACAGTTACCCTACCTATAACCCGACTTATAACTATCCCTAAACCCTCAACCCTATAGAACCCTTATCTTGGAAATACCCATGAACCTGCAAGTAGGGCTTATCAGGAAAGCTGAAGCTCCACTGGGCGCGAGGCTGATCGGCGCAGCAGGCTTGTGTGTAGCTAAACAAGACCACAGGCCTCAAGGAAGGCCGGTACTGTTGCCAGATGAGGTCGCGGTCTAAACCCTAAACCCGCAAACCCCTAAACCCCCTAAACCCCTAAACCCTTTCTCCAAGTATCAGCACGACCACTTTGGTGCAGTTTTGGGCCTTGAGTCTTAAGGTGCACCTTAAGGTTTCCCTCAGCCCTACATCGCAGGTTTGAAAGATGTTGCCCCGAAGTCTAGACCCGATGGCATCTGAAAGCAACTGATAGTTCAAACCGCGGCAGCCTCTTGGACTTTATTTTTTGTGCGTGTGTGTGTGTGTGTGTGTGTGCGCCAAGAGCCTGTGAAATCATCTGTTTAGTGTCTTTCTGTAGACCTGAGCATTCCAAGCTTCCGAAGCGAGTTTCGGAGACAAGCAACCCACGCATAGGATCCCGATAGAGCAAGACTCCCATGCAGAAGGCTACTGAAGTTCAACCGTTCCTACACTCCCATGCCAACAAACTGAGAGCCCGACGGCCGGCCCTCAAAAACAGATTTTAGAAGAGTGATCTGCGGCGGAGGCGGTGAGAGAGGCAAAGGGCACATCCGAGGGGCAACGTAGGCTTCGGTTGGGCATGCTTAGTGCAGTGCACGTTAGGGTTTAGGGTTTAGGGTTTAGGGTTTAGGGTTTAGGGGTACTATGATCTTCATGCAATGCAACACCTAGAACACGCGAAGTGTCAACATAACGAGGCGTGTTACCGTCGCAGGGCAGGAATGGTCAAGTAGCAAAAGCAGCAAGTCGGTGACAAGGGCGAGTGGATACCGTATGAATGACATCCTCGGAGTAAGCGTAGGGCTGGAAGTCCCAGGTATACATATGTCCCCGAGTATGTCTTTGGCATGTGCCAGTCTTTCCGGCATGATGTGCTTGGTGCAGCAAGTCAAGACTGCCCACATGTTTCTCTGGTAACGGATGCACACACACACACAAGCACACACAGAAACAAAACCAGACCAAACGGTACAGAAGATCATGCTAAATGATTCCACGTAAATTTGGCTCGATGCGCTGCAGGCACCTGCTTCTGAGGGATAGGCTGCGACGAGGATGCTGAAGGTATATACTCAGATGGAAGATTCTCGAATTTGCGGTATTCTTTGGCTTGAGGGGCCAATGACGGCGACATGGTTTCAATAGGCTTCTTCGAAGCATGGCCCAAGTGAATCGACCCACCCGATGGACAACTACCCTCACTCAACCGTCAAGTCTAGCAGTGTCCAGGGAGCCCAATACCCCTAAATCGAGGCATCTACTCAAACTATTGGGGCCGTAATTGGGGTGCGACATGAGGATTTACAGCATACAACCCTAAACCCTAAAACCCGAAAACCCTAAACCCCTAAACCCTAAACCCCTAAACCCTAAACCCCCAACCCCTAAACTCCTAAACCCGAAACCCCTAAACCCGAAACCCCTAACCCCTAAACCCCTTTTTTGCAACAGGCTTTCCACTTCGAAACCCCTAAACCCTAAACCCCGAAACCCCTAAACCCTGAAGTATGGGGCTCTC